TAAAAATAAATTTGTGATTATATAGAAATTTTATTAAGCAATTTTATTAAATAAATTAGATAATTTCTACGTACATAATATAGTAATTATTATTTATAATTAATACTGTATATATATTATGCATCAGATTTGAAAAGTATTTAGTTGAATTAAATGCATCAAACTGAAGATTATCATTTATACGATGTATATAAATGTAATAATAAACAATTTATTGTACTGTATATTTCATACAGAGTTAAAGCTATATGCAGAAGTATTTATAATCTGAATGATTTAGTTCGACATATTATATGTTTAAGAGTCCAGAGTATATTTAGTATCACTTATATAAATCATCAATTTAATTCAATACAAACCTTTTATTTTGACCTTATGTATTATCAATTCAAATTCCAATCTAACACAACTTAGTTTTAAATCGAATACTACCTAAAATTAGAACAGCTTTTTACTTCGCTCCCAATTAATAAAGCAAGTTGGATATGAATAAATTAGTCAAAATCGAGATATAACTTGCTCATACTATAAATTTAAAAACTAGATAAAAACAGTGCACATGTATGCTTGCCACCAAATTCAAATTAAGTTTCAATCTTCTGATCCTAATATGGAAATCCCAAAAGTTTTATAACAATTGGCACGATAAATTTATTAACCAATAAAATTTGCATATATAACTTCTAACTAATGAGTTTGGTTTTAAATTTTTGCGACAACTAGATCAAGGTATAACCGGTACTCCTACAGGTTCGCATCAGATGATTAATTTTAAGAAATTTAATATTCACCAGACACAAAAATGGATCACTAATTCTCCCACAAAATATTAATATAGATATCCCTAAATATAAATGGCATGAGACACTTTTTTAAAAAACTAGAACTATGTAACAGCCTAAGAGCAAAATAATTTTTAATTACTAAATCAGTTTTACAAAAATTGAAAAAATAATAAACTCCTTTCGTGAACAATACCCACATATGTAAAGTATTCTGATTAGACCTGAAGCAAAATGTTATTTCTATACACGTAAGATGTTAGATTAGTATTTTAAAAACACCCATATTTGTAAATAAATAAAGGTATACTTAAAGAAATCACCCTCTTATATAATTAGCATCGCGTAAGTACTATTCAATAAACTTGATAATTATTAAATAGTACCTAGAGTATTTTAGTCAGTGGTATACAATACATACATGGTAGTTTAATATATGATTATCAATCTCACAATCCTGTGTAAAGGTTAACAATTCAGGATTTTAAACTCTTGTACTTGACACGAATTAAGTAGGTTGCACCTGCAAAAAATAAATTCATAAAAAAATAAAATTAAAAAAATTGAAAAAAATTTAAAAGTCTTAAATTCTATCATAAAATTTTTCAACAGCTTGGTTTGTGAATATGCCTCCTCAATTAGTGTATAAAAAAATGCGTAGTCGTATTAGTGACACACAAAAAAAAGAAATATGTGAAATTGCAAAAAAAAATCCGTCATATAGGCATCAAGAAATAGCACAAGAGTTTACAAACCTTTATCCAAATTTGAAAATCGATCGCTCGATTGTAACAAAAATCCTGAAGCAAGCTGATGAGTATAATCAACTTAAAATTAATGAACAAGCTGATAAGACCTTTCGTCATCGTTCAGTAAAACATCTGAGGTTAGAACTTGCAATGAACATATGGGTAGAGCAGGTTATAACAAATGGTTTTATTATATCAGACTCATTGATAAAAGAGAAAGATCATCAATTTGCAAAAGAACTTGGCATATTTGAAGAATCTCTTGGATTTTCTAATGGTTGGGTTACTAAATTTAAAAAAAGAAACGGATTAAGAAAAACTATAATGCATGGCGAGGCAGCAAGTGCCCCCTTAGAAAACCTACCTATGGAACGTATAAAATTACAAGAACTTCTTTCTCAATATAATCCAGATGATATATATAATGCCAACGAGACAGGTTTATTTTATCGATTACTTCCAAATCAAATACTTTCTAAAAAAGCAATTGCTGGAAAAAAAAAGGTTTTAGTAAAAAAAAAAAATAAAATAAAAATAAATAAATAAATAATAAAAAAATAGGATTATAAAAACTTAATAAATCGATTCTCATAACTCGACCGGGTCAAATCTGCAAACTTTAAAAAAAAATTTTTTAAAAAAACCTATAAAAAATTTTGTTTTTTATATTTAAAATTTTTTGAAAATAAAATTAAAAGCTGGGTTACCTGATTACTTTTAAAATTTTAT